AGCTACGTTTAAATATTTTGTAAATCAAGTAAGTGTTAGCAATAACCCCCCACAAAAAAGACCAGATGTCGGAGGATATACTTATGAGGAATTTTGCCAGACAAACAATGGACAGAGAATATGCGTACGTACTCATTTTTTTATAGCTAAACCTGGACGATATTGCGTTAGTAGAGGCAATCTAGGAAAATGTACCAAGTCTATCGGGGATGGTAAATTCAAATGCAAAATTCTTCCAAAGACACCAAAGAAACAAATATTTCCTTTGATTAGCGGATCATGGACTATACACTTTGAACAAGCCACAATCCTTCACATACTTGTACTAAATTCTATCTTAATTATTATTGTCTCGAACTAAACAAAAGTACCTAATGTAATATTAAAAAATAAATAATTTTATCAGCTACCTTTGATTCAATGTAATGCTTTACGCTCAAGTCATCCAAATAAATGACACAAAACTATTTACATCGCGATCAAACATCGTTTTCAACAAAAATCGATGATAGATTTCTGCTAATTACGTTAGATAGAGCATGTTATTATTATTATAGTTTTTTGGAGTACCGAATAGAATATACAGTTCGAAACGTCAAGGGCGTCATCCTGTAGCCCGCCGGAATTGACCACATTTTTCTTCAATATCAAATCCTTAGTCCCACCCTGAGGAAAATGTAAACGAAACGCCGCCGTATCAAAATTTGCAGAGTGGGACCGTGTTCATCGACGCTCACAAACCCTACCCACAAAATTTGGTCGGACGACATCAACTTTTGTTCAACACGGTCAACTTGGTCTTGGTCCAATATAAAAAGTAATTTAAAAAAAACAATATAAAAAGTCATTTTAATGCCTAGGCATAATGGTACGTATACATTGACGCGCCGTTAAGTATCCAAACCCTCATTACCAAAATTGTATGCATTGCCAAAAATTCATAAACCGGATAAGTCGATATGCGCCCAATTGTTTGGGCTGTAGGTTCTCCAAATTATAATTTGGCAAAATGGTTATCAAGGGAGTCCGAAAATTTACCTAATCATGAACCCTCTTTCTCAGTTAAAAATAATATTGAATTCATTAACAAAATTAAAAATATAACATTGCATGAAGGTGAAATTTTGGTCTCCTTTGATCTTCGTTGTTCCCAAGTGTTCCAATTCCACATACTTTAGGCTACCTGAAGGAATTACTGAACGCAAATGGTCTCGACAGCAAAACTGTGATTGAATATATTAAGCATACATCGTTATGTATGAAACAAAATTGTTTTCAATTTAATAACAAATTTTTTGAACAGCGGGAAGGTACAGCAATGGGTAATCCATTGTCTCCATTTTTGGCTAATTTATTCATGAGCAGTGGAGGATAAGAATCAGTTTGAGTATTTTCCAAGAGTATGGTTTAGGTATGTGGATGATATTTTTGCTGTTTTTGACACACATTCAGACACCATAGATAATTTTATTTCTAAGTTAAATAGTCGTTTTCCTTCCATTAAATTTACACATGATATTGAGAACAACGACACTAATTGCCTGGAATTTGATATCTATAGGAAAAATACCACTACACGCAGATATATTCCTAATGAATCATATCATAGTGTTGAACATAAAATGACTAGTTTAAATTTCTTAGTTCATAGATTACTTAGTTTTCCACTTACCAACACAAGATATGAAATAGAAAGAGATTACATTAGGAATGTAGCTGAGTGTAATGGATATTCTCCTTCACTAGTTGATAAAATAATTAGAAAACGTAGGTATAGGTTAATGATTTCTGAAAATTCGACTTTTCAAGTGGTAGGTACGTCAAAATATTTTTCAATACCGTTTGATAGAGAGTTATCCCGTGGTCTAAAAGGAATTTTTAAGAATGTCAATTATAAACTTGTGTATAGTGCTCATAATAAATTACAACAATTATTAGGTAATCCAAAGGATAAAACACCTACACTGGAAAGGTCGGGTATTTATGAAATTTCTTGTAAAGATTGTAATCAGAAATATGTTGGGCAAACTAGAAGATCGATATTAACTAGATTTAAAGAACATTTAGCTCAGATAAGATATGGTAGACCGGATAAATCTTGCGTGGCTGAACATATTTGTTGATAAAGAATATTGTATAGATCTTAATAATTTAAAATTAATTAAACAAGTCTCAAATTACAGGCAATTAGATGCATATGAAAGCATCAGAATTAATAAATGTAAAGATAGTATAAACAGAGACAACGGTCCAATTCCTTCAATTCAATTCTAATAAAAATAGATAAGTTATAATAATTATTTATTAACACAAACATCAGATACGCTACTGAAGCAGCTAAGTCAAATTGACGTACCTAAATTCTTTGGCATCTAATCTTTGACAAGTAGTAAATAAAAGCAAAAATGCAAGAAAAAAATATAATTAGTTAATCTTAAGTGAATTTCATAAATGATCGGTTTACTACACGTATGTATATTATATAGTCACTTACTAGTGAAAGGTTATTCCATTATTTCCCTCGATTTTTGACCGATATCCATCGCACGCTACACAACCAACAATTTTACAGTCTTTCGATAAATCGCAATAGTGTCACTGTTAATTTAAGTTCAGCCACAATTTCCTTCTAGATTTACTACCTTTAAACATCTATCAGTAGAAGAATAAATAATAAATAACATAAAATAAGCTCAGTAAAGACTGACAAATCCACAAAACTTCAAATCAAATTAAAATGTGTCAAATGAATCGTCCTTTTTATTCATTTCCCTCTGGTATATCCTGTCGCAGCACCCGGTATGATCTATAGTCTGTCCAATGACAAGATCCTTGACAGTGATAGATATATCTGTCATTTTAATTTCAAAGTAGTTTATTTTATTTTACAAAGAGATAAGTCGGTACAATTGGAACGCATAATTAATATATTTAAATTTTGAGTGACAAGTGATTACTTCAAAATATTGTGAAAAAAATGTATGAAACTAAAAAAATCTAATCTTGGTTAATTAACTTTAATCTTATTTTTTTTGCTGTACCTACTAAAATGTATTGGTTACCTATCATGTGATGTTAATTTACAGATACTCCAGTTTGTGGTACCATATACGAGATGGTATACAACTGTATTTGTGGCTAATATAATTCTCTGGCTATAGTCTGTGGCAAACTGTGTCTCTGGCGGTCTCTGTGCACCGAGCATTAACTGTAAACTATGGTCTGGGTCAACACTTAATTTTCCCTCGAGTTTTCCTCCACTTAATTAAAAAAAACACGAAACACAAGTAACAACACATTCCAAAATGCAAAAAAATTATCATTTCTATTTGAACATAATTTGACACAAAATTATAACCTATAATTTGTCAAGAGTTGACAACTTTCAAAAATCTTAAGTTGAGTTCATGCGCATACGCGTCCGTTTGTCGTTCATCGTTGCGTCAAACCATAAACAAACAAATAAAAAGGGACTGGCAAATTAAATGGCAAAGAGAGGGACAACGTTCCCGTAGCGCAACTCGGAACGCAAAATTTCGTTCTATTTATGTTGATGTGCGCATTGCGTCTATTGGGCCCACTATTTCATTCTAATATAACAAGAGAGAAAGAAGCAGCCATATAAAACGTAATTTCTAAATAGAAATTAGAACAATCGCCTTTCGTTTTCGTCATCATGACAACCAAGATGACATCATGACAATTCGTCATGTTTGTTAATTTTTCTTTTGGTGATTTACCTTTTTTTTCTAAACCCTCCATTTTATTGACTTATGAATATGGATAGGGAACAAATTTCTTTGTTCCATATAGGTATTTATATTTTGTTACTTATAATTTTAGGTTATACTATTTGTTATTTTATTTGCTGCAGGAGCCAGTATCATCTATATGTATTGGTGCCCCCTTTCTCTGATAGATATGTTAAAGACACCCGGTAAAATAAAAGTAAGTAGTTATATTTATCATCTTATTAAGAAAAAAGTAGAAGTAGTAGTGTCAAAAATATTTCGAACCTCTCTTAACATAACAAATTAATACAATTAATTTTTTCATTTTTTGGGTAGGTAGTTTATAGTTGGTTTATAGTAACCAGAAACTTTATTAATATACCTATTTTACTTTTGTTTTAGGGTTAAAACTGGACTTGAATGGTTCAGGATCATGATTCTCGTAAAGTCTTCTTTGCTTGGATATTCACTTTGTTATTGCAATTAGGCAGTTTTTTCGAAAATGAGATTTTTAATACCCTTTAAAAATATTGGCCGATCGTTTTCTGCAACAGTTCTTCTGCATTTAGAATTGGTAGGTGGGTGGAATAAACACTGTTATTTTTTGTTATTATATTATAAAAAGTTTATTTATTTTTATGTATAAATAAATATGTTTATAAAACAGTACAATTTTTGCTTTTTTTATAATTTCCCTTAAATAGTAGTATTCTTTCGTTCTGAAACTGCAAATTTTCACTTAAACTGGTTTATTCCCTACACGTTCCCTTTACGTGGTATAGGGAATAAATCAGTTTAAGTGAAAATCTTCGGTTTCAGAATGAAAGAATGCTACTAATAATGGCTAATTTAAATTTCGCGCCAGCCAGAATGTACGATAATGTCTTACGATACGTTTTATACCTATCTCTTTCTTTTTCATATAAAGTACACATAATAAAGAAAGATAGCAATAAAGACATACGACCTGCCATGGTCCTGCTAATTGGTTTCAAAATTGTTATTCTGACTTGCGCTATGGGAACGCGGTCCCACTCTTTACCATGAGATTTGTCAATCTCTTTTTATTTGTTTGTCTATGCGTCAAACCAATAATATTGAAATATGATATGTCGTTTTTGAAATACACCAATAAAACTGGTTAAAAACAACAAGAGACGACGCATAATATGGAAGTCATCTGCTTTTTTTTCTGTCATCGTCTGTCGAAATCTTACCTGAGAAAAAAAACAGAGTATAGGTTAACATGACATAAAATTCCAGGTTAAATTATTTGACAGATTTTTTTTTATTTTCTTAAAAATGTCAATAATGGAAAATGGATATTTCCCAATTATTCTTCTATACACAGTGTTTGATGTGTTTCCCATTTGCACAAATGTATTATCTTGTTTTATATTTAATGACATGAAACAATACCCCGAGTACTGCAAGCCTTCCGAAGAACAGTTGTTCAGCTACGATAATAAAATCGTGAATCGAAAAAGAGAAGCAACGCCTTTTACTTATGCCTTTAAAATATCCTACAGAAATAACATGTCCAACGCATATATAACAAAGACAAAGAGCGATATTATCCTAGAAGACAGATCTACATTAACTATTATTGGCGACAATGGTAAAAAGTACACAGAAGATATTAATAAGTACGCCGAACTGTACGAAGGCTATATGGAGAACAGACCTCAGGATTCTTTCATTAAGGGATACATCAAAGATGGTTACTTCTTTGGGCGGGTTGTGATCGACAAAAAGGCGTATTATATAGGTGAAACTGGACCAGTAACCAGTCCTCTTTTATTCGATCGGCCATACGATTTGTATAAAAAACTATACGATAAAAACGATCCCAGTTATGACGCTGCCTTTATTAAAGAAGCGGAAAAAGTTTATCGAGAAAGCGAGTTGGACACGAACAATATGACTGAAAAGGAGATCATGCAGCGCTTTAAGAAATGGAAAAAGGAAGGGTAAAGCAAATTTATTTATATGTACTACGACTATACGAAGTTTTTCATACACCCGGTTCATTAGCAGTTTTCTAGGTCCTAATTTCAGCGGCGTAGCATGGTGTCAATACAAGGGGATGTAATAAGTAACTGCAATTAACATTTTATCAACACAATAAAGGTTTTTTTCTTTTTTCTATTAAAATCTTTACTTTTGAAGTTACAAAAATAAAATATAAAAATTTAACAGGTTAAAAATAGTCAAACCAATTAAAAAAAAGAATTAAATTTAGGCAAAAAAACAAAACTGTGAACATATCTGTAAGATTTTAAATTTTAAAATTAAGATCACTTCTTCTAGCATGCATATTTGTGAAAACTTTTAATATATTTTCTTCCAATGAAGGAGAAGAACGCATACTTTCTACTATCGAATCCTTCATCGCGACGCGCGACGATATTTTTTATTTTATACCGCGAACGAGATGTGTTTATGAAACCGCATCGCCCATCGACTAAAACAGCGAACGGGAAACGTAATCGCGGCCGGAAAGTTCGCTGACCTCGGCTCGCGTTCGGCGACGTTCAAGATGTAACGAGTAGCGATGGGAACTATCGAATGAATTAGACTATCGAATGGTTAATGAATGAATGATTTCAACTATCGAATGGTTTTATTCGAATAAAATCATTCATTCATTTGTATACTAAAGCATATGTGACAACCTCGCCGTGCGACTAAATGGTTATCGTTGCGCCACGACTATCGAATGCTTTTGATAAATGAAATTTAGTATTCGTTTGATTTTTGTATGCGTCGGTGCATTATTAGTTCTTCCAAATTTTTATAACTTCGCTGTATAAATACTGTGCTATATTTTGCGTTTATTAAAATAGTTAAAATACTAAAATAGTAGTTATTTTTTAATTTTATTTATTGATATAAAATAACGATACGCAGAGACCGACCGTTCGTGAAACGAAGTCGGCACCGCCACGAAATTCGATGCAGCTCGAAGCAATTCCAAAAAACAACTAGTATGGATTATGGATGGAAAACATGTTATTTCGACAGCCATCGATACAGGCGGCGAAATACAACGGACAACGGAGTGGCGAATGCGCTACGGCGCTGCGCGGCTAACGTAGCTGCATCGGTCGATGGTCGTGTGGGGCTTGCAACAGCTTAAAAATAATAGGATATAAAAGAAGCAGCTTTTTTGAAACAGTTGCGGGCGTAACGCCTGGTGGTCGAGATAACAGGAGTGGGAAAGGAACGCCGCTGCATCGGTCGATTGTCGATGGAGGCTCGCAACGGGTTGGAGAAGCAGTCATTTTAGATACGTTGTTTCTTAACCTGGTACGAGCATAACAAAGCGGCGGTCGAGATAATCGGAGTGGGAAAGTAACGCTGCTGCATCGGTCGATAGTCGATGGAGGTTCGAAACAGGTTGGAGAATAACGCATCAGTTGTTATAGATACATTGTTTTTCAACCTGTTACGAGCATAACGGGCAGAGGTCGAGATATTATGGCGCTGTATGTTTCAGTGCCTACTTATTAAGTTTCAATATTTAGGTATTCATTTATTCTGAAAAATTTTCAGAATAATATTTTAAGATTTTTTAAAAATGTATACAGGGTGTTTTGAAAAATCTGGTCATTGATTAATCACGATCCTGCTTAAAGCCCTTGACGTAAAAAGCTGATTTTTGGAAAACGGATTGACTTTAGGGTGTAGAGGTTCGATAAGGGAGTTTTCGAAACTCGAATTCTAAGGGGGTAAAACCACCCTCAAATATTAGAATATTTTTTATTTAAAAACCGGTGAGTTTTTCGGAAAAACTCTTAAAACACGTATATTTTATTTTGTTGTTTTATATATTTTAAGATTTTTTAAAAATATATACAGGGTGTTTCATAAAATATGACCATTGAGTAATCACTATTCTGCTTAAACTGCTTGACGTTTAAAGCTGATTTTTGGCAAACGGATTGAATGTGGGGTTGAGGTTCGATAAGGAGGGGTTTCTCGAATCTCAAATTCCAAGAGAGTGAAAACGCCCCTCAAATATTACAATATTTGTTATTTAAAAAACGGTTAGTCTTTCGGGAAAACGCTTGGACACGCATAATTTATTTTATTTTTTTACATATTTTGAAATTTTTTAAAAAATCATACAGGGTGTTCCAAAAAGTTGAGTAATTGATTAACCACGATTCTGCTTAAAGTGCCCGACGTTTAAAGTTTATTTTTGGCAAATATGAGAAAATTTTATCCAGTTTGTATGTTAATGGCAATTCTTGCTTTGCTTTATCATCACCATTACAAATTATTAATTCGACGCGAACGAAGTCGCGGGTACACGCTAGTTTAAGTGTAAAATTAATTCGAACTCTAGTGTGTAGTTGGTTTACTTATGAAGAATATACTACACATTTTCTTATATTGCTATTTTTTGACCGCAAATGGTAAAATCATAACTAAGAGCTTCTCGCCTGTCGAGTGAGATGCACACTGCTACGCAATGCACACTGCTACGCAATTCAGGATCTACGAGGATCGAGGGGCAGGGCGTAGGTATAGATTGGAATGTATAGGTATAGACGAGTGGCGGAAATTTGGCTTTTTTATATCGCAACTGGTAAACAGCGCTTATTTGTAAACAACCACCGTTTTTAGAGAGGTATTTTAGATAACAATCGATATTCAGAAATGTTTTGACACCCTGGAAATACTACCACCGAGCACGTCATTGTTGCAACTTGCAACTGCGTTAATACGCCTGGCGGTGATCGCCTCATACTCTTTCAGATATTTAGCAAGGAAATAAAGAAACCTGTTATTTTTAAGCTGTTATTTTAAGCTGTTTTTTTTATAAATAACTATAACAGTTTCAACTGTTATCTAAAAATAACAGTTTTGCCCATCACCACTAGGGCTGAGCCACTTTTGAGACGCACCCAAGTATATATATTTTGGTAAAATTTTCTGCGGTACTTAATAAATGTAAAGTGTCTAAAATTAAAAAAAAAGCATACTATTTAATTTATTTTTATTGTATTATTAAATACTACGTCCGCCTATGACGGGGTTTCATCTTAGACATCGCCTGTGACATCGCTAAAGACGCCACAAAAAAGAAAACAAACTGGTCTTTTACGAGACACGCCAAACGCTACACACTTTTGGTCGGACACTCCTATACCACAGATTATACAGATTATAAACTTTGTTTTTTCTTATTATTTATTTTTATAAATATTTTTAATTCTTATATTGCGCTATTTCTAAATAACGTTTAAAAATTGCTTAAATGGGCATGTGCGGGTATTTGACAACCGGGGCCGGCCGGCGAGATTTTTTATTTTAGGTTATGTTTGAATTGTTTTCAATTATTACTTTAGTTTTATATTAGGTAATTTGATATTTAAGTAGCTGGGATTAGTTTTAATTAAATAAATATGGCCCAAAATATTGATTCCACCTGTAACGTTTTTAGTTCGTTACATGTCTTTTTTATATATAATATATGATGTCTGGCCTATATCATCACCGGATTCCCTCTCGTTCAGGCCGGATAGTTTATTTGACGCGTAATTTTTACGTTCTCTAGTCGGCAACCCTGCTATCGTTTCACTGTTCTGTGGAGCGCTGTCAACATCACTTCTGTCAACTCTCTCCGTGCTTAACTTCACTTGGCTTTGACCGTCCGACTGTCACCGTCAAAAAAAATCCCTGCTTCGAGAAACTGCAATTATAAAAATCTTGCTGTATAATTTGAATCAGCTGCTATTTCGAAGTTACAGGTAAAAATGAGATATTATCTTTTTTGATTCGTTATTATTACTGCGTATTTTTAGGGTAGAGTTTTGGATGTCCCAACCTAACTTGTATTTGTGTTTTGCTGGCACGTTGGCGTCTCTTTTCTTTTGTCCTCCAGAATGTCACATGGAAGAAAGGACATGTTCTTTGTTATTTAGTGAGCCCTCGGAAGTAATTCGAGGTAGGTTCATTTTGTTTATTAGACCTTGTTTGATTTTAAACAAGAGTTTCGTATTTTTAGGGTCCAAAGTCCTAAGTTATGGTCCAAGGTACGGACTATTTACTAGGTACGGGCATTATCCAAGGTCCTAGTAGTATCCAAGGTACGGGTAGTGTTCCCCTGTACCGTTGTCTTACGGGCGGGCTGTGTCCAAGGCTTTGGTTCAAGTTACGGACAATATCCAAGGTCCTATTAGTGTTCCAAGGTACGGGTAGTGTCCCCATATTGCTACAGTATGGATACAGCGTAAGCCCCATGCTGCTTCGTTCCCATTTCTCAGTCTAGTCAGTAGTTACAGCTGTATCAATTCATGGTGTCCTCACTCTGGCCCCCTTTTGTTCTATTAGATGGCCGAGTATAGAGATGCGAGACCACCTCACGCTGCTACTGTTTGAAGCAAGATTACATAAAGAACAGCTAAGTGTAGATTTACGTTCTAGTTTTTATGTTTTAGATTTTCTATATTTTCAGTCTTAAACAGTAACGTACATTTTAAAATAATATCATTACACAGACTTTAGTGGTTAGATTATTAAGAACATTTATGTCGATTCAGTAGTTACAATGTGATTTAGATTTTAGGTTTCATTATATTACGCCTTGTAATAGTATTACTTTCTATAGATATTATTATTGCACTAACATCATATAAAATATATCAAATTAATTAAAGTAATGCTACATTTCATATATTCTCTTAAACTTTACATGTCTTGTATTTTATCATAGTTGTTTTTCATAGATATTTAGTACAACTCTCAACACCACTTTCGTTGACATATAACCACTATAATAATTATTAAAATTGTACAATGCTATTTACCATCACAGTCCATCATGAATAAATATAGTCATTAGTTTTAAGTAATATACAACTGTGTTTTCTTTCTCTGTACATGCCTGGCGCCCAATATCTGTATTTTTTTGTTTATTGTTATTGATTAGTTTTCTTTCCAGTGAAACACCTTATCCACGACTGCTCTTCGATGAAAAGCTGCCGTTCGCAGTGGTAGTTGTTATAAAAAAACGCCCTGGAACACCTCTTCCAATATTAAATAACCTATAAAGAGGCTTAAGTTTACAGCAGATGACGACTTAGCCCTTCTAAGAGAATTTGGTGCTTGTTGTCCTAAACCCACTGGCAGACGTTGAACAATAAAGCAATGGAAATAAGCATTTTAGCCCTTTAGTTTTAAAATACCTAGTAAACAAAATAATTTCAAAGTTTTAAATTCAAAGTTAGGTTAAGTTTAGATAGCGGACGCGATGCGAACAGAATTCTTTCCGATCCGATAACTATAAATGAAGAGAATTTATACCACCTCACGTAAAGGAAATAACACCTGGCGCCTTATTAACGTCCATGCACGCTATTCGGTTTAGCGATATCTCTCTATTACGCTGTTTATTGTTATTTTACGCGAGTTTATTTTTGCGCACAGGAAATTTTACTCGTTTGCACATCGTCATAAGAAACAATTTTCGTACCACGAATTAGGGATAAGATTTTTATCTGTATACTTATAGTAAACTTAATCTGTGCCTATACAGTACGTCTGCTGGATATATATGTCTATGAAAGGAATGCGGACAAAAAACATTTAAATAAACAGCAATATATTTTATACGTCGACTTGACGAGTACGTCACCGCAAATCGCTCCGCCCACTCATTTTATTGGCTACTTGCAAATTTGTAGTATTTTTATTGATGGGACGCGTCGTCTAATTTTTTATGAAAAACATCGAGAGAATATCGTTTCCCCTCTTACGGATACCCCGTAGCTACAGAACGGACAGACGTACTGTACACTGTATCAATTTTACATCGTCCCAGCCTTAATATCTTTCTTGCAGTTAAAAACAGCACACATTGGTGTGGACGTCGCGTCGTAGGGCTTGTCAAAGATCCACTCTGCAGGTTTTGACATATCAGAGGCAGCTTCGACTTGTTCAAAAGTTAATAAAATATAGTTTAATAAATATAATGTTTTTTTTAGGATGCTCTGTCCAGTATTAGTAGTATTAGAAAACTCATTTCTACGATTACTACATAAAGGTAATAAAGAAGCAGCAATTTCGCACGCTTTATTCACTCTAGACGAAACGAACGCCATCTGGAGAAGAACAGACTTCGATAACGAAGGTGGACCCGATAACATAGGATTTTACATTAAAAAAATGGAGGTGATCGAAACTAATGAACCTGTATATTATATTGAGCCATACACACGATGGCTAAAAGATGCTGGCGATATCTTGAGGAAATTTTCTTTGTAAGTTGATTTCAGCAATATTGGCACAAATACAGTATTAGTATTCCAGAATTAAGTTCTTTTTTGGTAAAAAATCGGTATTTGTGACTCATACACAGAGTGTTTCAAGACAAACGCGTTTCGTCGAACTCCTTGAATCCATTTTTGATATTGACTATTGATCAAATCGGTGTAAGAAATTATGCAGCTATAAAATGTTGTTTCTGGAGATTTGAATATCCGGGAAAGTTGAGTTATTGAATTTTATTGCGCCCAACAACGCCCTAAATTACGCTCTCCTTTACGCGTTAACATTTTTGGGGCAATTTTATTAACATTTGAAATTGTCACAAAACACAACAAGACGCCTAGTTCGAATTCTTTTTCACTTATTTTTTACTCCCCGAAACAGCGTTACATCACACAAACCTCGTACCTGAGTGTTTTATAGTCTCAATATCTGCACTAGCAAAAAACTAAAATACTTAAATATTATGACAAAACCCCGATTTCAATATTATTTTAATGCGACCGACATCGACATGACGGCCGGTGCACAGTGTAACGAAAACTAAAATAGTGGGACATTGGCATTTTTCTTCAGTTATCACTATTCTTGCTGACATTTTTTGACAGAAATTAAATAATACGACTAGGAATTTTTGCTACAGGGCGAAAAGAGTAAAAAAAGGCGTAATGGAAGGTCAAAAAAAATACGAAGTTTTATAAAAGGACTTTACAGGTATATTTTTTTATTTACGAAGAGTTTATAGCTCTTATGGACCAAAAACGTTATCAAATTACTGTCGAACAATCATTTATCTCCCGCTAATATGTCAAAACTCAATCAACATTCCTAAATATTCAAATAATCAGGGATAAATTAGATAAGACCGCAAAACTCAAAGAGAACGACACAAGTGGCAAATATCATTTAACAGTATTAAATAATATGATAATATGCAAAAAAACGTATTCAACTTCAACAAAGGAAACCATAATACACACCTCACAAAAAATTTCGCAACACTTATATTTTTCGTACTATTTATTCTTGAAACGTTTTTATGTGAAAAACTTAAATCTAAGGGCTGCCTGAGTTATGATATACTTTCCATTCCTTAACAATTTTGCTATTAATGCAAATAACTTTTGAGATTATTGTTAACCAAGAGAATTTAAGAATACTTTGCAGTTTTCCAAATTAATAAGTGATGCGATAATTTATGTGGGGTGTATATTATTCCAAAATAACATAATATGTAAGGCACTTACATAAAACATGCTTAAAAATCATTCTCAATTTCTTCTCCATCCATATACAAGAGCTCTTTCGCTTCCGGAAACAAGTCTACTTTTTTATTTTTAGAGTGCTTTGGTCGCAGATGTGAAAGTAGAGGATCTGAATATATCAATAAGTTGTGCAATATATCTTCAATAGTTTGGCACCAACAATGATGCAGCATTGAGGGTGGAGTGTTAAATACATCGAAGAAAATTTTGCCGGTTTGAAAAAATATTCTCTTGAGTAATTTTTCTCCAATGTTGAGATTTTCTGAATTGTTGGAAACTGTCCCCCACCCCAATGTGAGGATGGTTCCTCGCTCCTAAAATAGCATTCAGTATGTTCATAGCAAGCGTATAGCTTTTTCAATAAAGAAATTATAGCACAAAAAATTACGGATAAAAACTACGGTCGAATCAATGGAAAACGTAATTATTGGCGAAGAAAGTTATTTTTTTCTTCCAGGTTCGGATTTAGGTGGATGAAATTTATATGTAACAGTATACTAGAAGGTTCACTCTATGATATTTTGTTTATATAACCTTGCGCGAATGTAAGCGTTTTTTTTTAAAGTCATAATAAACATGTAGAAACTAGACTTGAAAAAAATTGGGACATTTTTTTCAGGTTTGTTGTTGGTAAAAGACCTCTCTTTACGGAAAAAATTGTTGGAATTGAACAACACAAGAAAACTTCTGAAAATAATAAATTTCATTGTATGAAATTTTTGTACAGATTTGGTAAATTAAGGAAGCCATAACTTTAACCCGCCAAAACTCCCCGACTAAGAGGTCAACTCAAGAAATATCTCACATGGTGGGGCTCTGGGATGTCCTTTATCCATCTATATAAAAAACTTGATGAATTATTTTTGTTGTTTTTTGGGCTAATGTCCGGCATTTCCCGATTTCGTTACACTGTGCGACGGCGTGAATTATAAATTGATATTTTCTGATTTCTGCCGCGGTCGGAGTTTGTTGAAACACTCTGTAAACTATTTTTTGTTTAAATTAAATTTCATAATAAATATATTATTTTTTTATTTTAATTAAATTTCATATACAGGGTGTCCCAGAAATAAGTGCAAATATTTTAAGGGGTGGTAGATCTCGATAAAAAAAAAACATATTTTCTCTTTATCGTTTTTCAAATAAGTCCAAAATAACAGAGTTATTTTACTTTGAAAATTTCCAAAAACAAAGATTTTTTGCTAAAATTTTGAGAACCACTGGATCTTTTCTGGATTTTCTTTCTTGTAAATTTAATCTAATACCTATGTTGCCATATTATCAAAAAATTATGCTTTTTAACAAAAAACTAAAAAAATTTCCAAAAATTTTTTCAAAAAATTTCGAATTTTCAAAAATTTTTTTTCGCGAAAAAACCCTCACAGGCGTGTTTCTGGGGTTGAACTATACTACCAGTTAAAACATTTGCACTTATTTCTGGGACACCCTGTATAATAGTTCAGTCATTGGGGATCAAAAAAGGAGCCCGCTTGGAAAAAAGTCCGGAAGTTTTGAAACTTTGCAGATTTATGGGTTTTGGGGTCCCTAACTAGAATCCATAAAATGCACATTTCCAGACTTGCCGCTGGCGCCGCCATCTTGCCAAGATGGCGCCCAAAATTGGTATTTTGTAAATATCTCGAAAAATATGCGTTTTTTCGCAAAAATTTCCTATAAAAACGGTTATACGAAAATTTTCGCTAAAGTCAACCGTTTAGGCACAAAATCACTGGTAATTTTACAATTTTGCGTAAAGTATGATATACAGTCGATTTTCCGAAATAAAATAATAATAATAATAATGCCTTTATTTCCAAAAAAAAGTAAAATAAAATACAGTAAATTATTAATACATTAAAATAGTAAGAAATCATAGAAATTAAATAATTACACCATCAGAATATATATATACATATAAATAATCAAAACCCAATTTTGGAGTGGAGCGAAATTCAGAAGCAGAATGCTTCTGCTCTTCCATTTAACTCCGAATGAAGTACAACAAAAAAAATAGTAAAAGGTGAAAAAGATTAAAATATGTCATATGAAAAAAGAACAATAAAAAAAAAATAATAATAATAAGCAAAACAAATCAATAAAAAAAAACAGTGAAAAAAAAAACTCAATTTCAAAGAAGAAAAAAAGTTTCAGTTAGATAAAGAAAAAAAAAAGAACTACTGATTTTCATAAAGCCATCGACGGGTATGCATCTTAAATGTATGAATATTTAGAGTTTTTAGGTTTGAAGGTAATTCATTATATAATTTCGCAATACAATAACTGAACGAACCTTCAATAAGAGAGGTCTTATGGTAGGGAATTGTAAGAGTGTCCTTTGCTCTAATATTAACACTATGCGCATTCTCTCTAAGTTGAATCTTTTCAAACAGGTAAGTTGGTTCTTGGGTAGTAATAATAAAATGATACAGACTCAGTGTGCCCAAACGATGCCTATTCTTCATACTGAGCCACTCCAATTCTCGAAGTTTATGCGAAACATGGTCAAATTTTCTTAGATTAAAAATATATCTCAAACATGTATTGCATGTATTGCACTTTTTGTATTCGATACACTTCATGAGTGTTTAAGCCTTGCGAATACAATGGAGCACAATGAGAAAAATGCGACAAAACTAGGGCATTACACAAGTTAGCCTTGAGCTTATGGCTCAGATAATAACGGTGAGGATACAGTCGTCTCAAACCAGCATATGATCTTTGAATGCAGGACGATACATGCCTGCTATAGGCAAAGGATCTGTCTATTATAACTCCCAGATTTTTTGCCTGTTCGACCACAGGCAGTATGGCACCATTAATTGATAACCTAACCTCGCCGAGGAGATCCTGATAATGATTTCCGCCTGCAAACAACATCACCTTTATTTTTGAGGGTTTAATATTAAGTCATATTTAATGGATTCAAGATATATGTTATGTAAATCTAAATTAATTTTATTAAGAGCAAGGCCAAAATCAGTCTTAGCAAAAGACGCATATATCTGCGTATCATCAGCATAAGCCTGTGTATGGGAATACCGGACTACATTTGTTATTTGCGAAGTATAAATACAAAACATAAGAGGCCCCAAGATTGAGCCCCGAGGCACTCCCCGACCTAACTCAACAGGTCCGGAAATGTTTGCTCCCAATCTAACCGTCGATTAGTGTTCACTAAAACTAGTTTTAGTTTACTTTCTTCAATTTTGTCATGAAACAGTGGCGTATCATTAATTCGCTTATTAATAATTTATGAATAATTAATTGTCGTGCTGGACAGCATTCATTGCGAACTTACCACCAGGTTCAGCATTGGTCTGGTTGTACCAAAAATGCCGAAGAATGGGGTTGGAAGAAAACAAAAACAGGCATTACTCAAGTCACAACGTTGAAAGATCCAGCTCCAAAATCCCTAATGGCATTTTTATCCTGTAAATGCAAAACCAACAACTGGGGTAAAGCCTGTGGATGCAGAGAAGCAGGATTAAAATGTTCAATGATTTGTGCATACTGCAATGGGAAATTCTGTGACAACGTCACTGAAGTGTCACTCCACGAATCCGATGAAGTGGAGTTGGACTTGCCTGTAGATATTCCTCTGGCGGCTGAAGATGAAGAGTTGGACGTATTCAGAGACCACCCTGATGAGCCCAGCGCAGCAGACACGATCGACTTTGACATCAATGAGTGAGATCCGTCGGGCTTGTGCAGATAAGTTAAAGTTTTTAATTTACCTAGTGGAGTAGGCCTCCAGGGAGACCATGTTAAAATGAACGCGCCATGTACAGTACGTTTGTCCGTTCTGTAGCTACGGGGTATCCGTGAGAGGGGAAACGATATTCTCTCGATGTTTTTCGATAATATACAGGTTCATTAGTTTCGATCACCTCCATTTTTTTAATGTAAAATCCTATGTTATCGGGTCCACCTTCGTTATCGAAGTCTGTTCTTCTCCAGATGGCGTTCGCTTCGTCTAGAGTGAATAAAGCGTGCGAAATTGCTGCTTCTTTATTACCTTTATGTATACTCTGTTTTTTTTCTCAGGTAAGATTTCGACAGACGATGACAGAAGAAAAGCAGATGACGTCCCATACCAATCTATTTATTTTACTAAAAAAAGTTTCTAATAATTTTTAAGTTATCTATGGATGGGTTTAAATATAAATCCGTCATGGCGTCGTGTCTTGTTGTTTTTAACCAGTTTTATTGGTTTATTTAAAAAATGACAGATCGTATTTCAATTTTATTGGTTTGACGGAACGATGAACGACAAACGGACGCCGATTTGTATGAACTCGCCTTTAGATTTTTGTCATTTTTGACGCTTGTCAAAGTCTTGCCAAATTATAGGTTATAATTTTGTGTCAACTTTTGCTAAATACCCTGCGTTTTGGAAGATGGGGCATTTTGATTCGTATTATTACGTGTGTTTTGTGTCTTTTGAAGTCAAGTGGAGGAATAATCGAGTGAAAATTAACTGTAGACCCATAGCACAGTTTATCGTTAATACTCGCTGTCCAGGCAGAAAGTCTTATACACCAATGAAGTTGCCATCGATAAAGTTTGTATACCATTTCGTCGTAGATAAGTGCATCTCGTATATGGTAGAAGGATCAAACTAAACACTAGCTGTAAAATATCGACATCACACGATAGGTAAATAATGGATTTTAATACTGCAGAAAAATAATGTCAAAAGGTACTGGTTTAAAAAAATTAAGATTAAAGTTAATTAATCAACCTTTAAGGTATAAAATTTGGTAGGTGTTATTATTAATAAAATAGTTTGTTTTATTTACCTATGTTGTTTTATTTATTCCTGTAAAATATTACAAATTTGTATTTGTACATAAGTTATATTGATAAATATAATCATAAATGCGGGTAGTTTCATAAAGCTTGAAAGTAGATAATAGTTCTTTTTTATATTTTTTGGTATGTAGTGTCTTGTTCTTGTTTGTTTTGTATTAACACATACCGTTTTTATTAAATAAAATAACTCCATTACATTTTTTCAGTTTTATACAGTTTTTTCACAACATTTTGAAGTAATCACTTGTCATCTTGTCAATCAAATTTTAAATATATCTATGCGTTCCAGTTGTACCAACTTATTTCTTTGTAAAATAAAATAAACTACTTTGAAATTAAAATGACAGACACATCTATCATTGTCAAGGATCTTCTCGTTGGACAGACTATAGTAATCGTAGAAATGAGTTTTCTAATACTACTAATACTGGACAGAGCATCCTACAAAAAACATTATATTTATTAAACTATATTTTATTAACTTTTGAACAAGTCGAAGCTGCCTCTGACATGTCAAAACCTGCAGAGTGGATCTTTGACAAGCCCTACGACGCGACGTCCACACCAACGTGTGCTGTTTTTAACTGCAAGAAAGATATTCAGGCTGGGACGATTTAAAATTGATACAGTGTACAGTACGTCTGTCCGTTCTGTAGCTACGGGGTATCCGTAAGAGGGGAAACGATATTCTCTCGATGTTTTTCGTAAAAAATTAGACGACGCGTCCCATCAATAAAAATTCGACAAATTTGCAAGCAGCCAATAAAATGAGTGGGCGGAGCGATTTTCGGTGACGTACCCGTCAAGTCGACGTATAAAATATATTGCTGTTTATTTAAATGTTTTTTGTCCGCATTCCTTTCATAGACACAGGTCCAGCAGACGTACTTTACTTTACCTCTTGGGTGGTGTGGAAACAAGTACACATTTTCAATAATTAAAATTAATTATTCATAAATTAATGAGCGAATTAATGATACGCCACTGTTTCATGACAAAATTGAAGAAACTAAACTAAAACTGGTTTTAGTGAACCCTAATCGACATTTGATTTCGTAAAATCGACTGCCTATACATAATACGAGTATATCATATTTTACGCAAAATTGTAAAATTTCCAGGGATTTTGTGCCTAAACGGTTGACTTTCGCGAAAATTTTCATAAAACCTTTTTTATAGGAAATTTTATTCTCCTTAATTCTGCTCTCCCCAAATTTTCGCGAAAAACGCATAGTTTTCGAGATATTCACAAAATACCGATTTTGGGCCGGTGGCCAGTCTGGAAATGTGCATTTTATGGATTTTAGTTAGGGACCCCAAAACCTATAAACCTGCAAAGTTGCAAAACTTCCGGCCTTTTTTCCAAGCAAAAATCCCCAATGACTGAACTATAAATTATTTAAACAAAAGATGTTATCGTGGAGATGCGTGTTGGAACGCCTCCGCAGCGGTTTTTCGGTAGTAACGCTTCAAATTGTAAGCTACTGCCTAACCAGGCTGCAAATGGCGCCTTTGTGCCTCGTTTGCTTCCCTTCTTTTTTTCAGGAACGCTAGTTCATCGTTGCTGATTCCTCCCGTATTGACGAAGCCGGAAGGCAGAAACACTGACTGTCTACGGGTAGTCATGTTTTAGTCATGTCTCATGACTAATCTTACTGTAGACTTGCCCAATAAATTCTTTCTTCTAAATTATTTAAGGTATAGCGAACTGGGCAAATACTGTATAGGGATGGTTATAACAAATCAAAGATTTAAAAACTACGTTTTGGCAATGGCATATATGGGCAATCGAAAGAATAACAAACCGGGTGGAATATGTCAAAAAACCATTAACAATAAAACAATCAATACGTTGACGGCGTCAGCGGCCACCAGCAGAAGAGACAAGATAAATCAGATTAGGTTCGAAGCATCCATTGCTCACGAATTAGGTATCACCATACAATAAGTTGCTAACTAAAGTATTTTCATTATATTGTGTTTCTTTGAATACAAAGATTAAGAGAGGAAGAACTATAATACTATCCATGTAGTGGACCGAGTCGACACTATAGAATATGATGAAAAAAAAACGCTATTGTTTTGTATTTTTGTGATTTTTGTAAGCTAGGACCGTGATAACCTTCTATATCTACTTCACTTCCTTCCTTCGTCGCGTCCCTTCGTCCAAAAATCTTATATTTACTATGGGAAAATGTCGATTTTATGCGACTGTGTGTTCCTTCGTTCCTTCGTCAAAACGCTCCTTCGTCCGTTTACTTCCTCGAAACGCTCCTTCCCCGTACTGTCGGTTTTTGGAGGAAGTAGCAAAGGAATTATCACGAACACAAAAAATATTAAAATATATAAATCAATCTTGGATTTCATTCGTAGTTGATTTCTTGATTTGGCAGTACGTCTGTACAGGGTGTCCCATTTTCGTGTGTTTTGCAGGGTTTCTCGTTTATGAGTCGAGCTACAAAGATGCGGTTTTCACATTACGATGTTACTTTTTTATGAAACTAAAGATGCTACATACAAATATGTCCTAGCTCTCTTACTTTCTAATATACAGGGCGAATCTGAAATTATTGCATTTTTCGATCCCCTTGTATATATAACTATATATAATTTAAAACTTATAAAACTTATAAATAGATAATTTATGTCTCCCGTACAGTTTTTCACGTAGAATACAGTGATGTAACTATTTCTTCGTTGGAATCTGTCTTTTTTTAAATTGACTAAAACTTATATGTTTATTAAATGCGGTATTTTGTATATTATTTTATTTTCCTTGTTACGGGCTTTCTATAATACTTATTTTCATAAACAGGGTAAAAATGCATTATTTAACTTTATTACATAGTCGGCCGGTTTAAATTAGGTAATCAAAACAATCAACTAATTTATTCGACGTAAAATCTTGGTTATTGGCATGTTATTAAAAAGTTCAGTTTCCGTGTAGTTTATCAAAATATCACGATGCAAAGCAAAATTATCTGGTAAAATTAAGCTAAATAAAATAACAGCCGTTTAGCAGTACCTAAATAAATAAATATAGAGTATAGTATAATTTTCGAAAGCTCATAACAAGGCAAATAAAATAAAAATAATATATAGAGTGTCTTATTTAAAAAAAAGAACATAAGTTTGAGTCATTTTTCGAAATAGACAGCTCCCAACGAAGAACCACTTTCGTCACTGCCATTCTACCTGATAAACGAGACACGGGCGGTGGGTAATCGTACTCAATAGGTCTTAAGAAAAAACAAAATTAGGGTATCGGGTATATACCTGTACATTTTAGATTGAACAGTCTAATGTTGATAAAAGGTATTTGCCAACGACGCGCATAGTAAAATACCCGGTATGAATACTCAGTAATTATCTACATATTTCTTATATATATTAGCGTTAGCGTCGTCTACAACTCTTACCACCACTTTCTTTTCTTTGACATATAACCACTTACATATTTTCATTAGAACTCTAACAATGTCATGCTATCAGAACGAACATTCATGAATAAATATAGTCTCATTAGTTGTTAAGTTAATATAAATCTGTGTCTTTCTTTCTTCGTGTAATTGCCTGCGCGCGCCCAATATCTGTATTTTTTGTTTATTGTTATGATTAGTTTTCTCTCTAGTGAAATACCTTACCCACGACTGCTCTCCGATGAAAAGCCGCCGTTCGCAGTGGTAGTTCTAAAAAAAACGCTACCTACTAGAGTGGGCGTGCTATGTGCGCAAACTAGTAACCTAACTAGTACCCGATTCCGAAAATTGGAACCACGAAAAACAATAAAGAAAAAACAAAGTTTATAATCTGTCTAATCTGTGTTATAAGATAATCTAGATACAAGAGGGTTGAAAAATGCAAAAACGACTAGGACAATCTGTGTGTATCATCTTCACTTGCATAAAAAAGTAGGACATATGCTGTAAAAACCGCCTCTTTGTATCTCTGCTCATAAAACGAGAAACCCCATAAAACACACGAAAATGAGACACCCTGTACTCTATAAGTATTATTTTTAGTAGTGGGAACTATCGAATGAATACTATCGAAACATTCGATAGTTGCAATTCATTCGAATAATTTCGATTAGTTTAGCTAAGGAAGAAACATTCGTTGAAGAAACATTTCGAATTAAAAATTATCCGAATAGATCCGTCATCTTGCCTTGGATAATATTTGCTATTCTAGTATTCGGCAGCAAAAAACCACTTCATTTTATTAAAACTTCATTCATTTATGAAATTCATTCATTTTTTTTTTTTTTTTTTTTTTTTTATTATTTTTTTCAACTGAATATTTAGTTGTTCGCCGGGGCTGACGTAGGTTTTCTTTCCGCAGAAACCGTCGCGGCTCGCGCGTGGGCAATTGCTATTTTGAAAGAAGCCGCATCTTTGGATTTTTTGTGTAGTCAGATATAGATAAGGACACATTACTTTGTTTTTATCGACGTGCTAAGTATCTTACACAGAAAATACATTATGAAGGCGCTGCTGCCATATTTTGGTATTACTTGATATTAGCAAAGAAGTATTTTCATTGTTTTGGCTTTTAGCTTAACTTAGGGGAATATAAAGATCATACTAATATATTCTGCATTTTTTTTTATTAATATTCTGTTGTTACATTGCAATAATACTTGTTACTTTTGGATTGTAGGAAAATTAATTTTTTAATGTTTTTTAAAAAAAAAAAAAAAAATAAGTAAATAATAATAACAGTATAATTTGTTATACCTATTAACAACAAAATTTAAAATCATTTAATTATAAATATTTTTTTTTTTTTTTTTTTTTTTATATATACATATATTTGCTATGTCAAATTATTTATATTTAGATCCTATTTAAAAAATAATATTAGAAAAAAAAAAAAAAAAAAATTATTAAATAATATAATTACAGAACTAATTTTTATATTAACAACAATCTCTGCTCTTTTAGAAATGTGACATTTGCGCAGCCATTAATGGGCCACAAAAGCGTGGTAAAGCCCTATGCGCCAGTACAATGTTGGTAGTCCCTTCGGACGAATAGCGATCGACGTGGCTGGTCCTTTCCCGGAGACGAACGGTGGCAACAAATACATTGTGGTAGTAATGGATTACTTCAGCAAATGGGTAGAGGCCTACGCGTTGCCAAATCAAGAAGCGTCCACGATTGCTGATGCCCTTGTTAAAGAATGGTTCTGCAGGTTTGGTGTTCCTATGGAGCTGCATTCAGATCAGGGAAGAAACTTCGAGTCCAATCTGTTCCAAGGCGTCCGTGAAGTCCTTAACATCCGAAAGACCAGGACGACGGCTCTACATCCACAATCCGATAGGATGGTTGAACGCATGAACAGAACCATCAACCGTTATTTAGCCAAAGTAGTCTCTGACCCCCAAAGAGACTGGGACAAATTTCTCCACCTGTTCCTGTTGGCCTACCGCTCATCCGTCCAAGAATTCACAGGGCAAACTCCAGCCAGCATCGTTATGGGACGGGAAGTGCGCCTACCCTGTGATCTGAAATTTGGTTGCCGACCGGGAGAAGAAGTCGCCGGAGATTATGTCCACACACTACGTCGAAGGATGGACGACATTCACCAGAGAGTCCGCCTAAATATTCAAAGTGCTAGTGACCGAATGAAGGGACACTACGACATTCAAGCTGAGCATGGAGGATACCAACCGGGGAAGTTGGTGTGGCTACATAACCCGCAGAGACGTCGTGGATTATCTCCCAAGCTACAATCCTCGTGGGAAGGGCCATACGAAGTCATGGATAGAATTAATGACGTCGTATACCGTATCGGAAAATTGCCAAAAGGAAAACCGGGGGTAGTCCATTTCAACCTTTTGAGCCCCTACCAAGGCGAAATAGAAGATCGTGCTGGGACAGTGAGAACCTGCAGCTTTGATCCCCTGATTCGGAGATGTCTTTTGACGATTTCATGGCCCGATACAGCAGTGAGAAGGCTCTCTATGGTGTAACCAAAGATCAACGAGACCTCTTTCCGTGCCCCCTGATTATTCGCTCGCTCATTGTGTGGCTCGAGATTTGCGGATGTTCAGAGGAATCGCTGCGACGTTCAATGAGAAGTTTGGGCGTGTCGGGGAACTACGCCGACAGGATCCAGAGGTTGGAAGCGTCTTGAGGCTAACCGACAATGCATATGGTCAAGCAAGGCACATCTTCTGCCTGGTCATCAAGGAATGGTCCCCGGGTAAACCGACTTATCTCAATCTATGGAAGACCCTGATTGAACTCAGAGAAGCCCTGCTAAACAACAGCATTGCACGATTAGCCATTCCTAAGCTGGCGTGTGGACTCGATGGTTTGAGTTGGCGTACAATTCGGAACATGATTGAAGTCTTGTTCAGATTTGCGGGAATCGAGATCCTCGTTTGCTGCTACAACCCAAAGCTGGGATCGGGAGAGAAAACTGTAGACTGCTATTTCTACCAGACTTCGCAGTGTACCAGGGGCCAGCTTGTCAAATACCTTCATTCACCGTATACATCTCAGGACGAGTATGTACCTAAGAAGGGGGAAGTGTTGCGAGCCGGTGTGGACTCGACTTAACCTCACAATATGGCCGCCCTCGGATGACCTTAACATCGCATAGACACCGCAATGATTCATTCGTTAGAGAAGAATCGAGTCCCAATGGAATGGACGAGTACATACGAGAACATTCGAAAACTTTCTCTACGCACCTAACGACCTATGGACAATTCTAGAGTTCTTTACCTGCCGGTATAAAAGCCGACGGCTGTGGCCTAGAGGGGGCAGTTATAAAATATACAGATTACAGTTGACGCGCGAAAATTCAAAATAAATTCATAGTTATAAATCGTTTGTAAATAGTTCTATAAGTCTTTTATCGTTATTGTTTTGTTAATTAGTGTTAAATAAATAGTGTTTTAATAAATTGTGACTTTCTATCACACGGAACCGACGAAAAACGTAACAATAATATAAATAACCAATAAATCGAAAGTATTGAA